TTGTTGTTGTTGTTGTTGTTGTTGTTGTTGTTCTCAGCTGGTTCACATCACCATGGTAACAGACGCTGATGTCAAACCTCTGACCAATCAGGAACACAGAGCTGCAGCTGTGAGCAGGTTACACACCTGTAGATTTCACTCCCATGTTTGACCTCAGAGATCCGCTCCAGGTGCATGCTGGGCCACAACCAGACAACCCCGCCCCCCAATCCCTTCATGGACGTCAACTGTCGCGCTCAGACGTCTGGGAGGTCAGAGGTCAGAGGATTTGTAAATCACTGAATCACAGGATGAGCTGATTGGTCGACTGACAGGAAGCTCCAAGGTGGTTTGTGATCCAGGATCAGGATTCTATCTTTAACTCAGATTAACGTCCTGTCGCAGCAGCCGCTCGCCATTCGCTCGTTCCTCACCTGCGGACATGTCGCTCAGCAGCAGCTCGGCCCCCAGCCCCCCCTGGAGGAACAACAGCTTCATCCTGGGGAGTGGCAGAGACCCTCCCCTGTCCGACCAGGGAGAGACCATCATCGGAGTCTACCTGCTGCTGCTGGGTGAGTCCACACTGACACACCTGTCCTCCAGGAGGCGACAGTGACACGAAGCAGGCGAGGAAGTTACAATCAGGACCATGTCCACCTGTCCTGACGTGTCCTCTCTGATGGTTTTAGGTTGGTTGTCCTGGTTTGGAAACAGCATCGTCCTCTTCGTCCTGTACAGACAGAGAAACACGCTGCAGCCCACAGACTACCTGACCTTTAACCTCGCCATCTCCGACGCCAGCATCTCAGTGTTTGGATACTCCAGAGGCATCATCGAGATCTTCAACGTGTTCCAAGACAGCGGCTACCTTATCTCCTCCATCTGGACCTGCCAGGTACACCTGAGTCACACCTGCAATCCACCTGAAATCCACCTGAGACACATCGTCTGTCTCGTCTGTCTCCTTCAGGTGGATGGCTTCTTCACGCTGGTGTTCGGTCTGAGCAGCATCAACACTCTGACAGTGATCAGCGTCACACGTTACATTAAAGGATGTCACCCGAGCAGAGGTCAGAGTCTGAACCATGATCACTGTCCAACCAGCAGGGGGCGCTGTCTCCACTTACATACAAACTAATGTCTGGGGGACAAGTTGGACATGTCTTTGGAATAAATCCAGTAAATTGTGGTGTGAATGTTTTTATGCCCTAAAAAATTGTGACAAAACTTTTCATCAGTTTCAAGTTGATGTAAACATGACAGGAGTTGTGTGTAACCTGTGTGTGTGTGTGTGTGTGT